CTCTCAACTGTGCACTGTCTTATTCCTTTCCTTCCTAGCCAATGGAATTTTCATTTAAACTAGGGTGAAATACACCCCGAACTACCTGGAAAGGAAGTTTTGAATGTGCCCCAATTTGGGTTTGATTTAATATTGAAATAACAGTCTTAGTTGCGACGGTGAAAAATTGATCTTCTAAGTTTTGATTGACATGAGCGTAGGGGAGAGCCGTGCGAAAATTGCGACTTTGTAGGTTTTGGTAAAAGTTGGATTTTTTTTCAAAGCATTGAAACAGATTTGGTATGGTTCTTTAACGTAATTCAGTGACTTTTTCACTAGGCGAGTCAAATTTTCTAAAAAGCGTAGAAGCATAAACATGCCTTTTAACAACTAACTGGCTCTATCAAGGAAGTTGTTTCAAGCAGAAAGGACTATTTTTGTTGCTGTTTTGTAATAACTTTGTCGAGAATGAAATAAAACACCAGATTGCAAAAAAGAGAAATATTATACGGCAACCGAATGTACAACATTGTATATCGTTACACAAACCGCATTTCAGATATTTGTTGGTAAATAGAGTAGTACTTAGTTTTCTTTAGAAAAATGCCTGATTCTTTTTTTTTTTAATTTAAATTGAATTATGCCTAATGTTTTAGTTTAATTTGCAAGCCTTCTCAAAACAGTGGCGACGCGTGACAAGCAGCCTGGGGGGGTAAATTATACGGGGGGCTCGGGGGTTCCCCCCGCAAACGCGCCCCAGGCGAAATTTTTTTGAAAATTCCAAGGTCATTCACTTTTCCAGAAAAATTATTTCCTTTGTGAGGAAAATAAAACAAGAAAAAAGTATTTTCTTCAATATTTTGCGTATTTTCTTTTGGGAATCGTGATTTTTCTCTTGATTATTCGATCCTGGGGGGGGGGGTAATTACCCCATTACCCCCCCGACGCGACTCCCCTGTCTCAAAAACCTCCCTGCTACATGTATAGGCATGGATGTCTTCTTCAAAAAAAAAAGGACCTTTTGACCCAATAAGTTATGGTGGTTTGGGTCAGATTTTGATGGTCCGTTGACACGTGCAAGTAATCTTACAGTGGACTTAAAGTTAATAAAATATTCATTAAGTTAAAATTCTACATTGTCACTTTATTATCTGATAATGTATGTTTTTTTTTGTACTTGAATTTATTATCTTATCCTTTCTTGATTTTCTCGAGTGTGGTTTGAAATTTGAAATTTTCCTGAAGCCGGTCTTGTTCTTCTCGTCTCCAATCTTCTAGTTGTTGTAAAAGTGCTGTTAGCCGGTACTGTTCTTGTTTTTTTTTCTGTCTTCGGTCATCCTCTTCTTGTTTTTTTTTCTGTCTTTAGGATTCTTTCACTTGTTTTGTTTTCTTTGTTCGGGTTGGCTCTTCCTTTTCTTGTCTTCAATTTTTTTCTTCGGTTTTCCATTTCTTGTTTTTTTTTTTTATGTCTTCGCACTTTTTCCTGTCTTTATACTGTTTCCGGACCTCCACTTCTCGTCTTTATCCTCTTCTTTTCTCTTGTCTTCGATCTTTTTAATGAGGTCTTAGCAACATTTGATTAACTAGTTCCATTTCGGCTGTTTGCTGTCGTTTATTTACCTTAGAATACTTTGTAGTTTTTCCTCCTGTGGCGAAGTTAAATTTTCCGTGCCTTATCTAATTTTCAAATGGAACACAATATTCCGGGTCGTACAAAGCGCTGATGCAATTTCGTGACAAAACGTAAACCGAAATAAGACTTAAATACTAGAAAATTTTCCGCACTATTGTAATCAGACAGCGTGCGAAAAAGTAGAATTTTATTCCTTATGGTATATTTGTTTTCAAAACAAACGACCAAAATTTATTATCATTATTTTATTTTAGAAGGGAGGGGTTCATATTATTATCGAATTGATATCAATAAATTCAAACATTATAGGGAGATTTTTCTCTATGTGAAAAAAAAAACAGCTGGCTCATTACTAAACAATTATTGTGTTATAAAACAGCGGAAATTTAATACCTACGCAATTTGTCATTGAAAAAAAAAACATCGAGGGACAAAAATCCTATTAATTACAAACGAGGGAGGGAAAATGAAAACATTGACACTAATACCGACGAATCATAATTCGAAACAAACCCAAACGGTTCGATACGCGCCGTGCATAATGCCGAAAAAAATTAATTAACAATGTACGGATCGTTGCTTCCCGTATAATAATCGTTCGTTTTTCCTTTTTAGGTTTCACAGTTCGTTGTCGAAGAGAAAATAGTACATTAAAATACAAGTTTCATAAGACGTCATTTTATCGCACGAGCCCTATATTAGAAAACGAGCCGGAGGCGAGTTTTCTAAAGGGCGAGTGCGATAAAATGTCTTATGAAACGAATATTTTATACTATTTTTTCTATTTTGGTATTGTTTAATTAAAAAAAAAAACTTTTCTTGGAAATTTTATTCTCATATTTCCTGATTTCATATGTTTAGGTTGGTAACACTACATGCCAAATATAGAAATCTTCTATTATTTTTTATCGCGAATGACAGTTCGATGGCCATCAGTCAGCCAGTGTTACCAACCTGCGATACGTAAAAAAGGAGTGTCACAAAGAGCTTCTTTTCGAAACTACTTTTAGTGTCGAAAAGACTTCGATATGACACCAGAATAGAAAAACATTGTTTATGTCTTAGTGGGAAAAAGGATCGATTCGAAAAAGTTGAACTTATTACAAAGGAGACAAAAAAATTAATAACTCCTATTGTGATCATACATAAGAAATAAACGAGGAAATAAAGTATCTAGTGATTAGATTATAGTTACTTAAGAATATCTCACTGATGTTAATAGAATTTTGGGATCTGAATACATATCGGCAAAAATTATTAGATATAGGGATTTCAAGAGAAGAAGCAAAAATATCTGAAATGGCTTACAACAAAAAATAAAACCTTGAAGACATAAAAAGACAACTAAAAACATGTATCACTATAGCTAGAAATGAGTTATGAGATAGAAACGTGAAGAAATTAACATCTACATAGGAAGGAAATGCTCAGAGTTATGGAGATTTATATCAAATGTCAAAAACCCAGGAAAGGACAGAGCTAATATCGTCGCTCTAGTTGTGAATGGTCGTAATCCACAAAATGTTCATTCTTGAGTTGTGACTGTTAACCACAGACTTTAACATACTTAAAAATGTTTAACTTTCATGTTGGTGGATAAATCTAAGCCAGTGATCAATATTTGACCTTGTTATAGTATTTTTGCTAATTAAAAAGCATATTTTCACCAAAAACAAAAATTTTAAATGCAGTTTACTCACAACTTACCTTGAGTGGATTACGACCATTCACAACTAGGGCGACGATATACAGGTAATCAAACCAGAGCATTGGACAGAACACAATAAGGTTCTGTTACCAGAACCTAGATACCGGAATATATATTAGATTCTCCAAGACATATTGAAGTGCATGGAGAAGCAGTGGAGATATCTGAAAAAACAGTAGGAAAGATTCCGAAGCATCCTAAGCCAGGTAAGTTAGCGGCTCAGAAGGAATGTTCTCAGAAATGCTGAAATGGGGAACTGAGAAGCTCTTTAAAGGTCTCATATGACGTATTATCGATAAATGCCTAAATGGACATGTTGTTCCATAAGACTGGAAAACGGCTTTTATGTCATCCATTCACAAAAAAAGGAAATAAGCTGGACTGCATAACTATCGGGGAGTATCAGTCACAAGCACAATAAGCAGACTATACGGTAAAATCCTGCGTGATCTCATTGAAGAAGATTATAAAGAGAAAGAAAAAGAGCAGTGCGGCTTTAGAGCACTGCACATTAAACAAGTCATAGAAAAGAGATCTGTTAGACATTTGGAAACCCACTTAACATTTGTGGACCTACAAAAAGCAGACGATATAGTCCCAGAATCCACTATGGAATATGAAAGGTATTAGAACAATAATAGTAGATTATACCACGAGTCAATAATGATAGCTATTATTCCCGAGGAATATTTACGAACTGAGCCGCGTTAGCGGCGAGGGAGTAACATTCCGAGGGAATAATAGCTATTATTGCGAGTAGTATACTCTACTTTATTTACGAAAAATTGATTTATTTGAAATTTCCTTTCCAAAAACGCATCTCAATACAAATACACAAGCACTACGCGTTTGACACTGACACTTTTGAGATTATTCAGGTATATTCTTTCCATGGTATTTAATTTGAGAAATTTTGTGATTGGTGTGCAAGCGGGAATAATGACGATTAATCCCTGCGGGAATAATATATGGCATTATACTGCCAAAATCACAAATATAATACTTACATTATACGTCAATCATAAATAAATAATAAAATTTCACCGTTTAATTTTTTCTGATTAAAAAACAATTAAAATACAACAACAACTTACTCCATGACATCACATCTCCCCAGCCACCTCTTACAAACAGTCCTACACTACCTACATCAACACCGGCACTAACACGACATCACGCCATATATTGTGGGTTGCCAGCTTTCAGGCCACACCCCGCCATCTCTGCGAACACCTCAAAGCTTTTGCAACATTCGGCTATTCTGAAAAACATTAATGTCCTCATTAATACATATTCCGAAAAGGTTCCCCTGATAGCAACCGCTATAACTCCTTGATCCCATATGATTCATTGCTCATTGATACTACTGACACCCTCATCTTTCGCCTCACTCCTGATTCCAACAAATCAATCAAATCATCAATTCATTTGCTCATTGATCCCTTCAGGAGAAGCCGGGCCGGATGCGACCACCGGCTCCTTGATCCTATATCTCCGTAACGAGTCTGCGGCCACAAGAAATCTACTCATATACCCTCGAACTCTCTTGACAGCAGGTAGCGATCGTTATCACATACCCTTAACACCTTGTAGGGGTCTCCATAACGCCTTGAGCGCTTAGAATTTACTCCTCTAGACACTAAGTCGCCTTGTCGATAGACGGTGGCAGTCTTTCGCCGTTTACGTCTCATTAATTTTCTCAGCCCTAAGGTGAAGTTTTCTTTTCGCTGCCTGACGCCTCTGATCCTCGGATCCACCAAATTGCTCCCTGTGATCTCCTTGATTGCCCCTATTGCGACCTTCCTCGGAAGGCTCGCCTCCTTGACGGACATGCCCGGTCAATTGTTTCCTCGAAGCGCGCCTTCTTATCACCTCTCCAGGTGGTATATCTTCCAAAACAGTCCCTCCACTATACGCAAACATCAGGTGTGATGGCACTTGCCGTGTGACGCTATGGATTATTGTGTTATTATCAACGACCTATAATCACAGATAGACAGAGTATTCATAAAATACTCTTTGTTGTGTTGACAACATGTTTATAGGCCAGGGGGGATTTGGGGTGCAGGCGGTCCATGGTGGGGATAAGTCGTCCGATCTAAGTCCGGCCTCAACAGCTGTTCCCTGTCATGAACAAGACCCAATTGGTCCCGCCTCAAAACCAAAACGATGATATTCAAAAAGTTTCCCAGACTAACACGAACATATCTTATGTATCGGTCTTTTTTTAACATATACTAATAATCATCGCATAAGATAGAGACAACAAGATACTCTGGGCGGGAACGGAATGTATTACTACGACAAGAAGCAGGCCGAGTTTAGTCTAGTGGTGTGTTGCCAAGTGTAATTGAAAGGCAGGACTTAATACCTGTGTTAGAAAGAGAAAATAAATATTCCTACGACTAAATGTGGCATTTTAGTAGTGGGAGAGTTTGGTCAAGATAGAAAGAATCGGACATGTTGTCAACACATATTTTTGTTTATAAATCTGTCTATCTGTGATAATAGGTCATTGGTTATTATTGCCCCACGCTACATGTGGTAACACTTCATCCCAATAGGCCTCATCGTCCACTGACGCCATGGGTATGATTTGTTCATTCGACTTGCCCATTTGCTCTAGGTGTGGCAATAGCATTCATCACATGCATTATGCCTTGCCTCCGCGTAAACTACCTAAAGGCTGCCCTGTCATACGCCTTGCCTCTGTCGCTTATGATTCTCCTAGGATTTCTAAACACACCAAAAGTCTCCCTTAGCGTCCTGATTATCTCCTCGGCTCGTACAGTCTTGACCAAATGTAAAATTACAAACTTAGTGAATGCATCTATCACTACAAGTAGATATGCATTTTCTTTGACGCTTCGGTTAAAAGGCTTCAAATGATCGGTATGTACCGTGTCAAAAGGTTTTGCAACCTTTTCAATCGGGTGTAAGTTCTGCTTTCCCATAAATTGCTTTACTAAAAGCACACTCCATGCAATGGTTCATATATTTTCGTATGAAGCGCCTCATGCGTGGGTACCAATAGGTTCTCTTCACAAGGCTGAGACACCTCTAAAACCCTGAGTGACCCACATCGTCATGACATTTTCTCAATAGGTTGAACGCTTCCGCCGTAGGCACGTACAATCGTTCCCCTTTCAGGGTTTTACGTTAAACTCTCCCATTTTTAACTTTGAAGTCCGCCTTGAGTTGCTCATCTGCTAGTCCTGACTCCAGACTGGCATAAATCTGACGGACTCCCTCGTCCTGAAGCTGAACGGTCAAAAACCAGTCGGTCTCCCCAATTATGACGCTGACTTTTACTGGGTTCCTGCTCGGCGCGTCCACATGTTGCATTCGTGTTCCCGGTCTGTACTAAATGGTGGACTCCATTTCCTGGATGCTTAATCACCACCGAGCTACCCGCGGTATCATGTCCTTTTTCTCAAAAGTTGCCCGAAGAGCAGGGCAACTAGCTTGAACGGTATGCCTACCAAATACACTCGAAAACGCTTGATCGTTTCAACTGCTCTGCTGAAGTTGTCACGCGACTGTAATACATCACTCCTTCCACCACTTTGCTTCTGCAATAACATCCCTCTGAGTCCTATTTTCTTGGCGTCTGTATGGACTTCTGATTTAGCACCGGGGTTGTATAATGCCACAACGGGTCTGTCCACTAGTGCTCTTTTTATGTCCTCAAAAGCTTCTTGTTGCTTCTCGCTCCAAGTCCATGGCACATCTTTCTTTGTTAATTCAATTGGCTCAGAGGTCTTGCCTTGATCGCAAAATCTCTAATGAACTTCCTGGAGACGCTCGCCAGGAACTGCCGCACTTGATGGACTTGTTTTGGCTCCGGAAATTGCCCTGATCTTCCTATTTCCTGAACCTATACCTGGTGCAGACAGCTCATGACCTAAATAGTCAAGCTGCTGCTTGAGAAAAAGGACACTATGTTAGGTTTAATTTAAAACCCGCCTTCCTGATTTTATTTAGCACTCCCTGAAACAGTAATATACCCTCCTGAACCGTACGAGATGGAATGAGAAGGTCATCCATGTGAGCCAGCACTTGCTCTCTGTTAGTTATATATACTCACAAAGTTAGTTAAATGCAGAATTTGGATAATTACTTTTATTGAAATATATCTTTTATGACAATCATAATGACATAATGTCCTCAGTAGACACTCACAATAATCATCCCAGCAAAACCTCAATAAATATCCGTACTTTTATTACTGGTTACGATTTTATGCAAAAATAGAATAGGTAACAGACACAACACTCTCCGCGCACAAACGCTGTCTTGAGGCCGGGACACATCTATCATGCATTCTTCCGATCCGTCGATCATACAATCAGGGTCCTTATTCTTGGAGCAGGGGAGCAGCGTTTTCAGGAGAACGAGTGTTCTGTCTTCGTTACTCATATTATCAGTTGCATATAATTGAGAAAGACAGAACACTCATTCTCCTGGGAACACTGCCCCCTGTTCCAAGAATAAGGACCCTGATTGTATGATCGGAGTTGGATCGGAAGAATGCATGATAGATGTGTCCCGGCCTTTATGCGTGGATGCAGAATGAATAAGTAGAAATCCTGCCACAAAGTCTAGAAGGTCGACACACAGCCTGATGTCGCCATTCAGCCTGATGTCGCCATTCAGCCTGATGTCGCCATTCTTCTTTGGGACTATGACCATGGGACTGGCGTACTCTGACTCGCCCTCCTTTATGATGCCATTAGCCAGTCATCCGTTTATTTTCTCCTGCATTTAAACACGCTTCGATCTGGCCAATCGGTAACAACGTCTCACTATAGGTTTGTCACTAGACAAAAATCTATGTCCATCTCACCCAAATTGGTATTAACTACATCATTTTCACCTACGGTAGAACAATCTAAATATACGTTAACTGTATAATAATAAATCACGTTCACATTCATCAAGCTCTTCCAGATCTGATACAGACATTTGCTCTCTAATACTAGATATATTATGAAACTCACCATGCCCTCCGCGATCCCCTGCTTTGGAGTTTGGCACACTAATTGCGCCCTGGCGATGATTTTTCCCTCCGGCTATTCCACGTTCTCCTCTCTTAAATTAGTGACACGGACCTTGGTAGACTCCTTTGCCGCTTTAGAGGTAATTGCTGCAACAACAACAGGATTTCACTTTGTTCCGAGCATTCTGGCTGGAATCTAAAGTACCTCGACTTGCTCACGCCCTTCTATGTGCGCCTCAACAATAGTAATGCTCCTTGGTGCCAGTACGACTCCTCGTATCAGTGTCACATTTGCTTTTGTGGTTACCTCCGGGAACTCCATGTTACCTAGCTGCCGAACCAGGTCTATCAACCACACTGTCCCCGCAAACCTCGCAAGATTAAGTGACCTCCATTTAGTGTCGGTTGCCCTCCTCTCTGATTAGCCTTGGTTCTGCTTCCGCCGCCGCTACGTTCCTGCTGCGCTCGCTTCTTGGGAAGGTCCCGCATGTAATGACCTTCCGCTCTGCAATATCTGCAACGGTCGTCTGCTGTGGACAGTCACGCCTTAAGTGTCCCTTTACTTGACAGTTGAAACAACGGGCCTCCGTGATCGTGGGTCTGCTTGGTCTTGCTCCCTGTTGAACTTCAGTCGTCCGTTCCTGATTGATAAGGCTATAATTGTTTCGTGGTGCCTTCACATGTCCACATGCATCTAAAAAACGTTTAGCCCGGTGACCTGACTCCTCACGACGGTCACACCTGTCAATTCTTTGTCTTGACTCTATGCGGGCATCCAGCTTACAGAGGAAGCGATTATATAGCTCCAGAGGTGTGATGCACGATGCACTCAAGCACTTCAGCATTACTCCTCTGGTGACGTGGCAGTCCATCTTTAAGCACAGCAACAGTGTTCCCAGACGGGGCGCTTAACATTTCACACATTCTCAGAACACCACGGTAGTAGGAGGTGTAAGACTCATCAAGTTTTTTTGACCTCCTTATTGAAATGGCGTCCAGTTGTTTCCTGTAACCGTACACACGGGGAAATGCCTCCTGCAATCGATGCTTCCACTCCTGCCAAGAACGCTCTTGCACTCCCTCCCGTTCCAATGTGCCCAACTTGTTGAACCATCGCCTAGCCTCTCCACGCACACATGGATGAATCTGAAAAATTTTGCCATCGTCGTCCCAGCCATGAACACGAGCAAGCTGCTGCACTAGGTCCAGCCACTCTTTTGTCTTTGATGGTTCCAATCGTCCCTGTCATGGTGTATGTGCAGTTGTGCTTTCACTATGGCTCTCCAGATTGCTCGATGTTGACGGAGATACTGCCCCTCGTGCGTCCGCAAGTACCTCGGCCTCGGTGTGACTTCTTGGAGCCTGCACTGACGCTAACGCAGCTTGCGAATGCATGATTGCGATCGCTGTTGCAATTCCCTTCGCCATGGTTTTCTGAACGGCTGCCATTTGAGCCTCTGTCTTGCGTTGGGCCTCCTGCTGAATTTCAGCCTCAAGCACCAAGCGACGATTTTCGCCCCTGAGTAATAATATTTCTCATAACTAATGCTTAGACTCACCTAGCGCATGTAGCTGGTCACTCCCTTTGTTTAATTCTAAATTCAGAAGAGCTTCAGCGTTCTCGTCATCCAATAAGTCATTATTGTAGTCCGCTTCAAGAAAAACTTGGGTTTTTGTTTGAATTTTTTTCTAGGCGATCGATCCGCCATTCTCCCAGCGACAAGAAAGAAGAGCTTAGCTTATGGGTAATCCCACTTCTGATATACAAAGAAAGAATAGACCGATCTCCTATTACCTGGACTGCGCGCGTCGCTTGTAGGCTGCAGGTGAGCGTCCAATGAGAAGCAGGTTTGTTACAGGCTTACGTCATATTTTTATTCAGGGGCCAGTTCAGAATGAATCGTTCCTTCTTTCTTTGTAACGT